GGGGTCTGGGGTCCCTGGGATGAGAGCATGGGGGGTTTGGGGTCTCTGGGTTGGGGGAAGGGGTCACTGGGGTCTGGGGCTCTGGGTTTGGGGTCTTTGGGAGTCCATCACGGGGGGTTTGGGGTCTCTGGGTTGGGGGAAGGGGTCACTGGGGTCTGGGGCTCTGGGTTTGGGGTCTTTGGGAGTCCATCACGGGGGGGTTTGGGGTCTCTGGGTTTGGGGTCTTTGGGAGTCCATCACGGGGGGGTTTGGGATCTCTGGGTTTGGGGGAAGGGGTCACCAGGAGCCGGGGTCTCTAGGTTTGGGGTCTCTGGGAATTCATCACGGGGTGTTTGGGGTCTCTGGGGTTTGGGGGAAGGGGTCACTGGGGTCTGGGGTCTCTGGGGTTTGGGGTCTCTGGGAATCCATCATGGGTGGTCTGGGGTCACTGGGGTGGGATCACTGAGGGTTTGGGGTCTCTGGGAACCCATCCTGAAGACCATGGTGGGTTTGGGATCTGCTGACCCCAGAAGTCACGGCGGGTTTGGGATCTGCCGAGACCCACAGCGGGTTTGGGATCCCAGGGAACCCATCCTGAAGATCCCAGGGGTTTGGGATCTGCTGACCCCAGAGGTCACGGCAGGTTTGGGATCTGCTGAGACCCACAGCGGGTTTGGGATCCCAGGGAACCCATCCCGAAGATCCCAGGGGTTTGGGATCTGCTGAGACCCACAGCGGGTTTGGGATCCCAGGGAACCCATCCTGAAGATCCCAGGGGTTTGGGATCTGCTGACCCCAGAGGTCATGGCGGGTTTGGGATCTGCCGAGACCCACAGCAGGGTGGGTTTGGGATCCCAGGGAACCTATCCCGAAGATCCCAGGGGTTTGGGATCTGCCGAGACCCACAGCGGGTTTGGGATCCCAGGGAACCCATCCTGAAGATCCCAGGGGTTTGGGATCTGCTGACCCCAGGGGTCACGGTGGGTTTGGGATCCCAGTTAAAGCCCCCTGGGCTCTGCGCTCCCAGTTCAGAGCTCCCAGAGCCTCGGGGATCCCAAATCTGCCGATTCCCCAAGCACGGGGCCACCCCTGGGTGCTCCCTGTCCCTGCCAGCTCCGGGACTGTCCCCAGTGTCCCCCTGTCACCCCGCTGTCCCCCCTGACCCCGCTGTCCCCCCAGGCAGCAATTTCGGGGGCGGGGGCAGCTACAACGACTTCGGCAGCTACAACAACCAGGCCTCGAGCTTCGGGCCCATGAAGGGCGGCAGCTTCGGGGGGCGCAGCTCGGGGCCCTACGGCGGCGGTGAGTCCCCAAAAACCCCAAAAATCATCTAGGGAACCCCCAAAATATCCCAAATGTCCCGGGGGCAGCTTTGGGGGGGCGCAGCTCAGGGCCCTACGGTGGTGGTGAGTCCCAAAAAACCCCAAAAATCATCTAGGGAACCCCCAAAATATCCCAAATGTCCCGGGGGCAGCTTCGGGGGGCGCAGCTCGGGGCCCTATGGCAGTGGTGAGTCCCAAAAACCTCCAAAAATCACCTGGGGAACCCCCAAAACCCCCCTGGGAACCCCAAAATATCCCAAATGTCCCGGGGGCAGCTTTGGGGGGGCGCAGCTCGGGGCCCTACGGTGGTGGTGAGTCCCAAAAACCTCCAAAAATCATCTAGGGAACCCCCAAAACCCCCCTGGGAACCCCAAAATATCCCAAATGTCCCGGGGGCAGCTTCGGGGGGCGCAGCTCGGGGCCCTACGGTGGCGGTGAGTCCCCAAAAACCCCAAAAATCACCTGGGGAACCCCAAAATATCCCAAATGTCCCGGGGGCAGCTTCGGGGGGTGCAGCTCGGGGCCCTACGGCGGCGGTGAGTCCCCAAAAACCCCAAAAATCACCTGGGGAACCCCCAAAATATCCCAAATGTCCCGGGGGCAGCTTCGGGGGGCGCAGCTCGGGGCCCTACGGCGGTGGTGAGTCCCCAAAAACCCCAAAAATCACCTGGGGAACCCCCAAAACCCCCCTGGGAACCCCAAAATATCCCAAATGTCCCGGGGGCAGCTTCGGGGGGCGCAGCTCGGGGCCCTATGGCAGCGGTGAGTCCCCAAAAATCACCCGGGGAGCCCCAAAATATCCTGGGGAACCTCAAAAACCACATTGAGGACCCCAAAAATCACCTTGGGGGAGCTTAATTTGTATTGGGGCGGCCTTAAAATAACCTGGGGGGGGCTCAAAATGTGCTGGGAGGACCCCAAAACAAACTGGGGCGATCCCAGAATGTCCTGGCAGGGCTCTGGGGTCACTGGGGGTCCCCAAATGTCCCCCCCCGATTTTTGGGTGTCCCTGAATCCCCTCCTGGTTCCACAGGCGGCTACGGCAGCTCCAGCGGCGGCGGCAGCTACGGAGGAGGGAGGAGGTTTTAACGGCCAGGTGAGGGGAAAAACGGGGGGAAAGGAGGGGAAAATGGGGGAAAAAACAGGGAAAAAAGGTGGGGAAAGTTGGGAGAAAATAGGGAAAAAAGGTGGGGAAAATTTGGGAAAAGGGGGAGAAAAATATGGGAAAAAAGGTGGGGGAAATAAGGGAAAAATATGGGGAAAAGGTGGGGAAAATATGAGAAAATCTTGGGAAAAAATTGGGGGAAAATGGGGAAAATATGGGAAAATGGGGAAAATATGGGGAAATGGGGAGAAAATATGGGGAAAATATGGGAAAGAATGTGGGAAAAAATGGGAAGATAATTGGGAGAAGAAATTATGAATTGGTCAGGGAGAAGGGAGAGGAAAATAAAACGATGGGAGGGATTTCAGGCAGAAAAGTGGGAAAACAGGAAAAAAAAGGTTGGGAAAAGATGAAGTGGGAGGGATGAAGGGAAGGGTTGGGGAAAATGGAAAAAAAGGGGGAAAAGAAGATTGGGGGAAAAAAAGAAAAGAGGGAAGCGAGAAAAGGTTGGAAAGGAGAAAAAGCTGGGAAGAGATGGAGGAAATGGTTAAAATTGGGAGATAAAGTGATGGAAAATGGGGAAATAACAGGAAAAGGTGGAAAAAGGATGGGAATGAAGGGAAAGGGGAGGTGGGAATTGCAGCGGGGCTGGGGCTGGGATCGGGCAGGGTCATGGGGATCGGGGCAGGGATGGGAATGGGAATGGGATGGGATGGGAATGGGATTGGAGCAGGAATGAGAATGGGATCTGGGATGGAAATGGGAATGGGGCAGGGATGGGAATGGGATTGGAGCAGGAATGAGAATGGGATCTGGGATGGAAATGGAGCTGGGATTGGGGCTGGGAATGGGAGTGGGGCAGGGATGGGAATGGG